TGTGTGTGTGTGTGTGTGTGTGTGTGTGTGTGTGTGTGTGTGTGTGTGTGTGTGTGTGTGTGTGTGTGTGTGTGTGTGTGTATGTGTGTGTGTGTGTATACGTACTTATAATACGACGTCGGTCGACGAGATAATAAATTATGTTTTTAAAAAATTTGTCAGTCACATACTGGTCTGTCCCCTTTAAAAATTTGGACTTATTTCAAACAGTCATAAAAAAGTATAAATTTATTCGCTGGACCATTGTGTGATCAATTAATCGATGGCGACGATTACACGAGTACATAACTATTATGAACAAATAACAATGTACCCACACACCAGATTATTATTAATTATTACTCAGTGAAGTTGAATGTTATGGTGGTCCTTTTAAATTGCATAAGTTATACATGTATACAAAGTGATAATTCTTCCACATGGTCAACGGAACATTATAATATGTAATGCGTATAAGTTATAGGCAGGGGTTAAAGTGGGGGGGTCGCAGGAGAACTCAGTCCCCCTACCTCTGACGGCAGTTAAAAAGAGTCCCCTTCAACCAATTATAGGATTTTATACATTAGACATTATACATATACAATTATAGATGGAATGCTTAAAACTATATGGAGATATAAGTCCCCTCTGGAATTTTTTTCCCACTTTAAGCCCATGCTATAGATCAGGTGCAGTTTTCTTGGTTTTTTACAATGTTAAGTATGTAGGCACTTACTTATCGTATGGTTTCGTGGCTGTATGACATAAGCACCGAAGGTATAAAAATTACATATCCTTTGGCCCAAAAATCGTAGAACACAAGCGCCAATCTAATATTTAATACCTGATATACCCTACATATAACATAAGCGCCAAAGCTAAACATAATTTTCATACATCGTTTGATTTTTTGATTTTTTTAAAAATTGTCAATAATATATATATATCTGTGTAAACTGTAAATAAATATAATTTTAATAAATTGATTGATTTCTTCAAATACGTAGATTCAGATTAAACGTTTGGAGTTTTTGAACGATATAGTTCTATATTTAATATCTGTTAGACCTACCTAACCTACCTAGGATTTTGGCACTTTCATACGATACGACTTTTTTTTTCTTATCTCATTTTGGCGCTTATTATGTCTTCCACCGATCGTAAGTGCCAGTGGAAATCAAACGAGGGGGGATGAGGGGATAAATCCCCATGACCTTTTTTTAAATGCTTAAGATCTGATAACCATACTTTATATTTTTAATTATCAAATAGTGCATGTTAAAAAATCATCCATATCCTTTCCCCCCAAAAAACCATCTAATCGCCACTGATATGATGTGCAAAATCCAAGAGGGTTATTTTTAAGACATTTATATTGTTATTACTTATTATTTATTACTTATTTGTTTCAGATAACTAATATATTTTGAAAAGTAGTTTTCAGTAGCTATTGTTAGAACTAATTTAGTGTAGAAAAAATAAGTGGAATAGAAGCTACGGTCGTGACTCATGTGCCAGTGAATCGCGACATTTTACGCTCTCTGTTCCTCTTGTATGAACATTTAACAGCTGAACTTTAAAGCTTTCAAAGTTATTTGATTTTCTCCGTTTATCAATACTGCCGAATGTCTTAAATAGTATTTTAATTTTCAGTTGTATGTAAAATGATTATTTATTAAGATTTTATATTATTTTATATTAAAATTATTAAAAATATTATTTTTAATGGGTTTATAAGAATACATTTGTAAAAATGTCAATGTTTTAAAAGTATCCGATGATGGTATTCAAATTCACAGCACAAGTTCATTGGCATTTCTGTGATCCCAGCAGGTACGCGTTATGTACTTACGTATTTTGGAAAGCTATAAATTAATTTTATTTATTACTCTACAGTATACATTATAACTTGATTGTTTGACACTCCGGTCATTAAAAGCAGGATTCATTCTTGTCCTGACGTCCTTCACCTTCAAATACACTTTCTTTTAAATACCAATGAGGGGTATATGATAATTATTGATGAGTGAGATGAGACAAGTCAACTATATCATTTTCAGAGAGACATTTTTATTAAATAAAGAATGTATAATATTCACAAAATAAAATAAATCTAATGACATCCAATAAAAATATTCAATATCACTATTTATTTTAGTTGTAGCATAGTAATAACTCACTAATTATTATTCTTGTTGAAATAATCTAATGTAGCTGATAAATGTGTATGATGATTTTATCGTTCCAACAGCGAAAAATCTGATCATAGTGAATATTTAATTAATAATTAATTCATAGTTGTAAATTACATTGCAGTTTAAATGTTTATGCTGTATCTCATTAATATATCGTACAATTTCCAGTTAATTTATTGATTGTTTCTTACACAATACTTTTTTAAACTATTTTTATTGTTATCATTTTTTTCAATCTTTTTAATTATTTAAATGATATCATGTATTTTGTAATTTCAAAATCGAAAGCAGAATATTTTTCTGAGAATTTAAATGTATAAAAATCGTTAGAATTTCACAATTTCCTAATCTTTTTACAAGAACATAACTGATTATCAGGGCATAATTTGTCTGGCTATGGTTAGCAGATGCAAGGACAAAATTACTTGGAGCTATGTAATATTTACATACGCACATAGTATTCCTACCCATATGGCCTATATAAAGTCGGTTTTTTAAATGGCAAAAATAAATAAATTAATAAAACTGGCACTCGGAAATTAGATTAACAATTATTTACCTACTTCATGATTAAAAACATATATGTTTAGTTAAATATCTGTTTAGTCTAATCGAATGTAAACGGTCGCGGCGGTGACCAGCAGCGACGACGAGTTCAACGAGCTCACACATTATTATTATTTATTATCGCTGGTCGTTTCACGTTTGTAGTTTCATATAATATAATAATAATGTTCTTTTCGACTCGGTCGGCCGAGTGACCGAACGAACGGTGCGTTGTCAAATCGTATGCATTACATTATTTTGGCCGCGTTCCAAAGAAGATAAAAAAAAAATAAAAAATAAACAACCCAGCTCTTAATTGTGGTGTATATACAGAGCGAACGAAATCTAAATTCGAATCGTTTATCGCGTGTTCCGTATACGTATGTTATATTATGCGTCGGTACAACAAGTGGTACCCATGACTAGGCACTATTGGGACGAAATGGGAGGCAAGTTTAATGCACCCCACGCTATTATTTATCTCGATGAAATAATAGTCATAACTCATAACTATTACAACTAATATTTTCAAAGTTTATCAGTCTCTCTCTATATATATATTGAACAGGCCGCTGTGTGCTACAAATTATAATAAACTACCATACGTCCAAGCCTTTCCTATAGCCAGTCTATCACTGGCCGCGAGTAAAAAATATTATATTATAGTGTGTATTTATTGTATTATTCAACTGAGTTGAATGAATTCTTCAGATAACGGATAACTAAATATGTGCTTCCTCTAGATAGGTACATTTATGTCGGCCGTCGAGCTGTTTAGTTTAGCTCTAGGAACGACAATAACACGACATTCCGTCGTATAGATATTGATATTTTGAGATGGCTGAATATTCACACGTCTAAAGTAAACAAAGTTTTTTCCTCGTGGAGGAATTTTTAATTATTTTATATATTCAATGTTGAAGCCTAGAATTTATGTGGGTCATTTTCGAGCACACAAAGAATCATATATTACTGTTCATAAACAAGAATTGTCTTATAATAATTAAGTGCATTAATAATCTAATACCTACGTATAACCTTTGTCTTTGTGTCATTAAATAGGTCTACGAGACTCTTAAAAAGCTGTTTGCGGATAAAACAATATCACTGATTATTCTCCAAGAAGATTGTTATCGTAGTTATTACTAATTTTTCATCACCAGACGCGTCCATACTGAACGCTTGCGCGCGTCTCGCCCGACTAAAAACGATACGAGTAGGAATATAAAAACGCGCCACATTATAACAGTATATATTATTATATTTATAATGTCGGTGCCAAGTTACCACGACCGCTTCTCACGGTTGACGGTATATACACGCTGCAGCAGTAATCATGTATAGTAGACGTCAAGCGGTTCATCGTCGTCCCGAGGATCCTATGCGCCTTCCTCCTCGCCACCTCCCCTCAGCCCCACCACAGATCCTATCGAAACCCTCGCCAACGCCCCGGCGAGTACCACCCGTTGGACGAGACGACCCGGCGGCGCGACGGCGGCGGCGGCGGCCCCCAACACGGCACACAATCCGTTCACTGTATTGTAACGAAAATCGTGTACGCGTGTGGCGCGACAGATCAGACCACTGTCCGACTCGTCGCCGGCAACAAGTAATTCGACGACGAATAGTATTATACCGTATATGATACACGCTAAAGCCTATCGCGGGTAATATTGTTAACTATTTCATATGTTACACAACTTGTCTAACGATTAGCGCTTTAACGCGTCTCATATAATATAATATAATATAATATTACCTAGTGCAGCCATTGCGATATATCGTGTATTCAAATAAAAGTGCAACGTTGCACCGATCGTTGTAACCATCATACCCGCAGTTTATACCTACCCGGCGTAGAAAATTATCATTATAATATCACTTAGGTAAGTGTTTATGTCACGTTTGCCGCAGTGTTATTCGCACATGTAGAAACGAAACACCTGTTGCTCGTGGTATAAATATAGGTGATGTTTTATATTTACCTATGACGCCAGGCAGGTCCGCACACAACGAAATATCTAAAACATTATTATTTATTATTCACGCGTACAACCCGACGACGACAAATGAAAACAATTCAATAGAGCAAAACATAATATAATATTATTTTGGCTGCAGTTACCGTTAACAATCGAGAGTGCGGTCGTTTTTGCGGGCAGACTGTTGAAATTCTTGGATCAGTGCAGATGACCCACACAGCGTTGGCGTCCAAAGAGGAAGAACACCGCGTTGATTGGGTCGACCCAGACGGCGGTCATAATCAAGTGAGTATAAGTACTTATAAGTACTTCAAGCATATACTTGAATTTAAATTTAGATCAATATTATGTTGGTAGTTGGTGGTAACTAATTGATTATTTAACGCTCATTGCGATGTACCTATCTGATCATTGTTATCGTGTTATCCGATTTGTTTCCTATAAAGATTAAAGTAATAAACATTTTTTTTAAACCCAAAATCTTTACATTTAATTTTAAAGTTTAATTTCTTGTGCCAAAAGAATATACAACAGTAGTTGGTTCAACTCAAATGGGAAATGAATCGAAGGAAATACTATCTATATGGCTATTGGCTATGTTTATAATTAATATGAAGTCGTTTTCTGCAACTAGTTTTTAACTATAATAGTATCTTTCGATTATTCTTTCTTTGAAAAATCATGATTTCTGTTACTCAGATAATATAACAATAATACATAGGTAGGTACTTAATAAAAATAGTAATACAAACATAATAAATTAAGTTATATAAAAAGATCCAAAATGAGATTTTTCTTGTTGTTACGGGTAGGTCTTTGAACCCTTTTCAGTCATAGAATTTTTTCTGAGAGTTAAGTCAACTTAAGTTTTCTAACAAATGTTTTTGTGTTTAAAACAAGATTAAGAATTAAAAAATCAAAGGTTGGAATTAAAAATTCAAATTTATATGTGCATGGGTGAGCATAATGGATATATTAATTCTTTGAGGGAGCAGATTTCAATTTATATGCTTAGGTACCTATTATTATAAAACATTATAACTTGTAAAAAAGGTTAGTGTCTATAGTCGTATTTTGTGAGTAGTCGTCTTTAGTCACGTTGATTGTATAATTATTATCAGTGTACACAAGACCGTATCTAGATATTTTTTCAGTGGAAGGGGTGAGATGCACCAAATTGTAGTTTTAGTGAATTATGGTTTTGACATTTGGTTAGAAATATAAAGAACAAATGTATGACTGAAATTATATTTCTCAAAAATAATTATAGACGTTTGTATAACTTCGATAAAATGTTGAAAAAATGTTGAGTGGTTCGAATGTATGGACCTCATTCGTATACGTCCTGGAGTGGCCTAATAGTTAATTAATATGAATATCAAGATAAAAAAAAGTTAGTATGGTCGATGATAAAGATACAGTGTTACACTGTATATAAATGTGTAGTGGTGTACTTATGTCCTATATGCTATTATAATATTATAGTACTTAGTGCCTACTTATATGGATAAATTACTTATGTAAAACCAGTTTGAAAATGCTTATTTATGCACTACCATAGATTGCAAGTGTGTAATAATTACTAATTCTGGGAATGATAAATAAAACAAATTATATACCAACTAGATTAAACTGTATTATTTAATTTGAATATAGTTGATAAGAGCTGAAATTGTTTTTTTAACCTTATTATATTTTAATTATTATCAATTGCCAGTTGTTAAAAAATTGTGGGTATTGGTGATCGTAATATTTTACAAAAAATGGTGCAATGAAATAAGATTAGAAAAACTAAATCTGGTATTCTAGTGACAGTTATAAAATGAAACCTATGTACCTCCTTACCTAATAAACTCAGGTAGGTATGGTATAACTTGGCTTATATAATAATAATTGATAATTCATGTTTAATAATTTTTTTTTATCCTGAGCCGATTTTGTATTGGTTGTACAATGAGTTTATTTCTGTAAAGATACTTTACAACAGAAATATTATTTTACTTCAATCTTCAATATTGAGGGTGTTTTTTGGTAGAAAAATGGATCTAGTTTGTACTTAAAATAGGAGGGGGGCAGGAACGTTCAAAATTAAAAAGAATAAAAAGTCACTTCCAATTGTTTTGGAAAATATCATAATGTATATAAAATGATAATATTTAAGTAATAGTGGAATGTTTTAAATGTCTACGGACTACTATTGATATTTTTTGAATACCTACTTAATTATACTAACAAAATAATAAAAATAGGATGTACCTAACCGTTATTATTATTAGGTAATTCCCTTCAAATTACAGACTGCCTTAATAACATACCACGGTGTGATTTTATAACCTGATTAATGATTATACTCGTTTATTTAACAATGCTAAATCATGTATGGCTTACATTTTTATTAAAAATATTAATACGTGTATAATTGAACCATACATTGTTAAATGTAATATAAAGGATAACTATAGTAGGTAACTACTTTACAGACTTCAATGGTATATCACAATCAAGACGGAAATATTAGCGCTTGTAAGAATACTTTGATATCACCAGAATCAATAAAACTATAAACGTATTAAATTGATTATAATCACTTAAACATGCTCATTCAAACTGAATATTGTGATGATATAGATTATAGATCCTATAAGTAGATGTTGATAAGTCTTATGATTTATTCAAAAAAAAAATTTCTGAACTTAAAAATTCGAGTACAAATTGATCAACCAACAATTTTAAAACAAAAAAAAAAATAATAATAATAAAACTCAAGGAATGGATAACACATGGAATAATTATTTCCATTAAACAAAGAGAAAATATGGCAACTAGTTTACGTGAAAGACCTTTTGATATGGATTTTAGAGTTAAATACAGTATATACAAAAAATATAATGAATGTTCTAATCAAAAAAAAGCTAAAATACTTCATTATTATGCTAAGATTATAAAAAGCAAATAAAGATATAAAATCAAAATGGATATGGGATAGGTAAAACAAGTAATAAAACAATAACAATTAACAAGGTAGTTAATACAAATGGTATCATGATTTCAAATAAAAAAAGATATTAACGATGTACCTATTTAACATTTTTTTGTGTAAATGTTGGTAGAAATATTAAAAATAATCTTAAATTAAAAGATTATGAAGAAAAGTCCTAAAGGAAAGATGTAAATAATAAATTTTAAATTTTAAATTCAATGTTTGTATTATACCTGTAGATAAATATGTGATTGAAAAATATTAACACAAATTAAAAATCATACAAATTTCTTTGAAATGGTCTAATAAACCAACTTCTAGAACAAACAGCTAATACCAGAATATAATGTACCTATAAATACGTGTTTCTCCTACAAAATATCCTTAAATGTTTAATAGACAGTATTATATTATATCACTGTAGCATATGCCCTTAGGGCTTTAATAGACATATCTTTGTATTGCTAAAATATAAATACATATATAATTGTTACGAAATATATTTAAATTATAATATTCTTAAAGTTATTTTTGAACTTTTGAGTTTTTATTTAAAATTGTTAAATATGTATAAAAAAATAAAAATAATGCTACCATTATAGAAAATAAAAATGTTGTCAAGTCTTCTTTTTTCTTCTTCTACAATCTGAATACACTCGTCGATTTAAGGCATTCAATATCTGATATAGCTTAATATCTAATGAGTTATATAAGTTATGTATAATTAAATGACACTAAATTTATATTTTATGAATCTATATACAACTTAACATCGTTTCAGTTAGGTAGGTAGAGAACATTTTTAAAAATTATTTTGGTAAATGAGCATGTTAATTATTTGTAATTAGGCACTATCTAAATAATCCGACTTCGGTTGTGGAAAAAAAATCATGAAATTATTAAAATGACTCACAGAAATCTGATTGGTATATTGAAATATATTATCATTTATGAGAAAAAGTAAACGAACAAACGTTTGATTAGGTAAAAAAAGATAAAGAAATTATTAAATTGTATATATTATTTGCTCGTTATATTTCTAGTCTATTAGAATAAGTACCTACCTATGTCCTATATTCCTATATAAAAGAATATTACATAGTCTATAGTAGAAGTATTTATTATTATTCATATTTTTCCAAATGTATGTTATGCTCGTGAATCTCAAATTGTGAAACTGATGCACTCATATAATTAATCTGTTAATATAAAATATATAATATTGTCTTCAATAAATATTGCACATTATATATTAAATAATTCCTGTACAGTTTTGATTGTCAAGTGGATAACAATGATAATAATAATACTATTCTGAGGAATAAAGGTCAAATCACGTGTATTTGTTTTTCAATTGAAATCCTTGACTAGTATACGAATAACAATAGAAAAAAATATTCTTATTTTCATATAAGTATATTTTACGAAGACAAACAATAAGTTAATGTATGACGTATACATTTCGTATACCTATTGCCTACCTATTTGGCTATACCTGCTACTATTACTATTCACAATTCGAATAGTAAGTTATTAATTATTATAAAGATGGTGCAGTGTTTAATACAATGTTTTGCTATTCATTTATAGGTATTTGTTAATTGTTTGTCTATTGCGCTTTTCCCGGAAAAATATCTACATACAACATAGTACATATACTATGATGTTTCAATATCGGGCAGTACAAGTGCTATATTAAAATGTCGAAACTTTATAAAATATTTTAACTTATAACATATAAACTTAACGAATATAGTGATATATACTACTACTTATTGAAACCAATAGCTTCTTTCTTCTGTTCAGGGTCTGCAATGATAAGTATATAATTATGTAGATATTTTTTATTAATTGTGATTATAATATATTATATAGCTTATAATAATGATGACTTTAATGATTATTTATGCTACTCATATGTGTCTATATTTTCATTAGTTTTTTGTTATTAATTATAAGTACAAAGGTCTTAAAACAGTGTTGAGTGGTATTGATTAATGTATCCTTTGACCTATAATAGACGAATATACAGTATTGCATAGTAAGCATATTTATTTTGTGTACATGATTACATTAGTTGTATACTTGTACCTGCAGATCTTTGTTGGTTGTTGTCTTACTATCGGTTTTCTCAAATAATATAGTATATAAAAATTGAAAATTCATTACCGGTTATTTAAAGTTTTCAAGTAAGTCCTACAAAAAATACTTTTAATTAGTTAAGAAACGTTTTTTGCAATAAAAATAGCGGATGAGGTTATATTAAAATAATTGTTTCTATTTAATCCTCTCCACTTTTATAACA